AAAAAAATTCTAACATGGGGAATTTTTTCTATTTACAAAAACGTTATTTTTGCTTTTTAAAAAATTCCCCCATGTTAGAATTTTTTTAAAACTTTTTCATAGATAAATAATCTATAGCGTAAACGTTTAATGCAAAAAAAAGTGGGGGTCACCGAACTCGTTTGTGATATAAATACGATAAAACCTTGTTTGGCGGCCATTTTGAAACGTCTCTGTTGCCATGGTAACGGCTGCCAGGCAAAAATTCTGAGAATATTTCCGCTCTAGATATGTTTCCTGCAAAGTATATTAACTTTTAGCCTTATAGTGAAATATTTAGGTGCTTAATATCCCTGTTTAAAATGAGCCCAAAAAAAATTCGAGAAACTGTATCGAGCCACCTTAAGCGGTAGGTACGTTACCTATATGAACAAGCTTTGCTATTGGTTGATGATAACAATAGAACACAATAAAACACAATGAATTATTACAGATATTGATTTATAAAGATTAAGTCATGAAACTTTGTTCAGTATCGTTATATACAAGAAGCCGGTCAAAACACTCGTTCATGTTCGTAGATACTTATTAAGTTTAAGTTGAAAATGTGGAAAGCCTCCTCAGAGATTCGAACTCGGGACCCCTGGTTTACTAGACCAGTGCTCTAACCACTGAGCTAAGGAGGCACCCAGAAAAAAAACATGCGCAAATAGAAATGTAAACAAATGTTTCAAAAAACGTATTTTGCAGGTAAATTTTTTTACGGCGATTATTAAATGCGAATGATCACAAATATTTAAGTCTTTTAGTCACCCTTACCATACAGTTAAAAAAAATCAAGCCTTATCAGAGAGTTGAACTCCGGACCCCTGGTTTACGAGACCATTGCTCTAACCACTAAGCTAATAAGGCAAACCCGTAATACTTTTGAAAAAGGTAAAATGAATCATCGGTGAAAAATAGTTATTCCTGCCAAGCCCAAACTAAACGGAAAAATATTAGTGTTAAAGTTTGGTCGATCAATTCTGTAGCTTTCACAAACACCGTTGCTGAGATTATCCTGTAGACGATGGCAATGGTAATCATACGGTGATATGATAGTTGAAAATGTTACAGTGTTATTTTTGAGCTACAAATTATTCTTGGGTTATGAAAAATGTGCCAAGCACTATAAAAAAGTCGCACGAAATCATTTCCTGATGTTCAGTACTTGTATATGATGATTCAACAAGGTCTTCATTGTTGACATGCCTACAACGTCTACATTTATGCATATACTAGATCTCCTCCTTGCATGTATATTGATAGGATTGATGCTGCATGGGAAAAGTTTTATCGGGAGATTGCAACTTGAGTTCAACACTGCTTTTTTTCTTAAAAGCTAAGAAAGAAACTCAATCGCGCAAAAATTTCAAGTTATGAGGGCAATCAGGGCTTCCACGGAATCGAACCCGTGACCTCTCGCACCCAAAGCGAGAATCATACCACTAGACCAGCAAGCCACACCTGGGGAATAGTTCATTATCTTTCGGTTAATTTTAAAAAAATCCGGTATATTACATGAAAAACTAAGGTTCAAGAGACTTCCGTTAATTCGTGCGGAAAACATCCCATTTTGCTGTTGAAAACAAGCCTATAAAAAAGCAATAATTTCTGAATAGAGATCCCTTTGACAAGAGGTAATTACGTTTTAGTCCAATCACCATGTTTATTTACATTATTTTTTTGTAACCGAATGGGAATGCATAAATTTGCGTTAAAAGGGTATAATATTAACCATTTCACGTCAAGTATTAGAAATTTTAACTGCTCTGACTGGTATTTTTTAAAAAATGAAAAAAAAATATTATGTCGTATGTTTTGAAACGAAATTCCACCTGGTGGCAAACAATTTCTCCGTGTTAGATGATCATCTTTCGGACTATTAAGAGTCGTAGTCGGAAGGATTTGAACCTGCGCGGGAATATCCCAACAGATTTCAAGTCTGTCGCCTTAACCATTCTGCCACGACTACATAATTACTTAGGAGTCGCTTATTTTGCTTTAACACGGATAGCTTGGAACTTACCTGTTTAGTTTACCACAGATTTAACGTCGTGGGCACATTAATAGGTTCTCTGGAATTGGTACGCCTTCGCATCTGCTTTTCAATTGCTAGCAGAATTTTGGAATTATAATAAGACTGAAAAAAAAGCAAAGGGTTTCGTGGAACTCGCGGTGACGGTTGGCGGAAGCTTTTATCATAGGAATTGATTATTGATAGAAATCAGGCAGTTCACAGGGCGTGTAAATAATCATGCATCAGTGATTGAGCATTCAGCAGCATATCCGAGACAGCAATTCAACTGCAATCAATGGGTGCTAATTCTGATTTCAAGCCTTAGCAGTTTTGGCCCTGGACGTTAAGTTTTTATTTTTATTAGTGGTTCTCTACAGTATAAGATATTACACGCTTTTTTATTTCAAATTAGAACTTATATAAGATGAGCCTACACAAGAAGTTTCATTATTTACCATGCCCAAGTGTAAGGGTTAGGTATATACGTTACCTATGTGAACAAGCTTTGCACTTGGTTGATGATAACAATAGAACACAATAAAATACAATGAATTAGTATAGAAATCAAATACTTATTGAGTTTAGGTGGAAAATGTGAAGAGCCTCGTCAAAGATTCGAACTCTGGGCCCCTCGTTTACAAGGTTAGTGCTCTAACCACTGAGCTAAAGAGGCATGCACGCGTAAATAACATGCGTGGACACTGTCGATATAATTACATTGATGAAAAATCCTAGCGCACAATCTTTGTATGAGGTTGATACGTAGATTAAGTTGAGAGAGTGCATCTAATGTTTGAACGAGAACACGTACCACATTTTTTTCTCAAGAAAATACAACATAATTAGACCATCAGCGAATTGTTGTCAAGGGCCGTTCTCTTCAGTTCAAGCAAGAGAGGCGAACTGGGCTTGCACGGGAATCGAACCCGTGACCTCTCGCACCCTGAGAGTGAATCATACCACTAGACCAGCAAGCCAAGTGCAGAATACGGGAAGTTTTCTTTTTCGCATATTTCAACGCTCACAATAAAGGCGATGTATAGCATGCATGCATGGAAAATATAAAAATCTTTTCATGTCATATTTATTACAACCCAAGTTACTCTGAGTGAAAAAAGACTTGTAGGTATCTTAAATCACTGTTAGTACCGAGAGCAGACAAACAGGAGCAATGGTAGAAAAAAGACGATTATTTTTAAACACGATAACAAACTAGGTTTTAACCCTAGAGACTAGAACAACGGAATTGGTTTCATTCAGTTCTAAACATTTTTACCGCAAAGCTGAACTATGAGGCTACACAAGAAATTTCATTATTTACCATGCCCAAGTTTAAGGTGTAGGTACGTTACCTATATGAACAAGCTTTGCTCTTGGTTGATGATAACAATAGAACACAATAAAACACAATGAATTATTATAGATATTGATTTATAAAGAACAAGTCATGAAACTTTGTTCAGTATCGTTATATACAATAAGCCGGTCAAAACACCGTTCATGTTCGTAGATACTTATTAAGTTTAGGTGGAAAATGTGGAAAGCCTCCTCAGAGATTTGAACTCTGGACCCCTGGCTTACAAGACCAGTGCTCTAACCACTGAGCTAAGGATGCACCCTGAAAGAAATGTATGCGCAAATAGAAATATAAACAAATGTTTCAAAAAACATATTTTGAAGGTAATTTTTTTCACGGCGATTATTAAATGCGTAATGATAAAAAATATTTAAGTCTTTTACTCACCCTTACCATAGACAGTTAAAAAAAATTAAGCCTTTTCAGAGAGTTGAACTCCGGACCCCTGGTTTACGAGACCAGTCCTCTAACCACTGAGCTAATAAGGCAAATCCGTAACTTTTCTGAAAAAGGTAAAATGAATCACCGGCGAAAAATAGTTATTCCTGATAAGCTAAACCTAAAAGGGAAAACATTAGTGTTAAAGTTTGGTCGATCAATTCAGTAGCTTTCACAAACACCTTTACTGAGATTATCCTTTAGACGATGGCAATGGTAATCATACGGTGATATGATTGTCGAAAATTCTACAGTGTTATTTTTGAGTTACAAATTATTCTTGAGTTATAAAAAATGTGCCACGGACTGTAAAAAAGTCGCACGAATTCATTTTCCTGATGTTCAGTACTTGTATATGATTGATAGGGTCTACAACGTCAACATTTATGCATACTAGATCTCCTCCTTGCATGTATATTGATAGGATTGATACTGCATGGAAAAAGTTTATCTGGAGATTGCAACTTGAGTTTAGCACTGCTTTTTTTTTTGACAGCTCATCATACACATGTGACCTGTAATGTGATGTATAGTCTATACACGCACATTATTAAGATGAAGTATTTTTATATATATATTCCCCTCTTCATGGTATGGTGCTCTGGTTTACAAATATAATATAGAACATTCATGTGTCCCAGAGAGTCATTCAAAAAACCTAAATTGCATGGATTGTTTATCAAACGTACGGCAGTTCGCCACGAAAATAAATTGGGAATTTTCATGCACTAATAGGTACCATAAAAATATTTAACTTTTCTTTAATTTATAGAACAGGAAGGGGCGAGCGGAGTTGAACCACTGACCCCAGTGACCTGTCAACCTGCAGTCGGATGCTCTACCACTATATGCTACTCTCTCTGAGCGTTCCATGCAGCATACCTGTCATATGCTATATTCTTAGATACCTGTAAGAGAAAGCCTGAAATAAAAAAATACATAAAGACGGAGAATGAATGATTTCAAAGAGTTTCTACCAAGAATTGAACTCCGATTCTCGAAGTCAGAATCCAAAGTGATAACCATTACACCACAGACCCTAAAAATCTATCAAACTTACTGACGAATGTTGACTGCATAGTATTAAATTATGTAGTTTGCTTCGCGCATGCACATTATTAAGATAAAGTATTCATATAATTATATTCGTGTTAAGCTTGCACATACGCCTCATTAGCTCAGTGGTTAGAGCACTGGTCTTATAAACCAGAAGTCCAGAGTTCAACTCCCTGATGAGGCTTTTGCATACTTTTGTATTTACAAAAGTATATAGGCAACTATAGCAACTATATAATTTATCCTACTCAAAGCCCGAAGTGCTAAACATTACACCACAGGACATAAACACCTAGAAAGAGTACTGAGAAATTCCTGGCTCTACAGTATATCTATGCACGTATATTATTAAGATAAAGTAATTATATTCCCTGTATTCCAGGTATGGACTCCCGTTTTACAAATTTATAGAACATGCATGTGTCCCAGAGAGTCATTGAAAAAACACTAAACTGCAAGGATTATTTATCAATCAAATGGATTGTTGCAACGAAAATAAATTTGGGTTTTTTAATTCACTAATTAGTACGATAAAAATGTTGGATTTTTCTTTCATTCATAAAAGATAAGGGAGCGAGCGGAGTTGAACCACTGACCTCTCGATCTGCAGTCGAATGCTCTACCACTGAGCTACACTCCCTGATCGTGCATACCTGTTTGATGCTCTTCTCCTAAAAGAACATTTCTTGCTGTTCTTACCTTATTCGAAATAGCACAAGTTTTATATTCATAGCATAGAAGCAGTGTGTAGCAAGCAGGGTGGCGCAGTGGAAGCGTGCTGGGCCCATAACCTAGAGGCCAATGGATCGAAACCATTTCCTGCTAAAGTTATCATTTCAATAAAAAAGATCTTTTCGAAATCTTATTTAAAAACATATATTTTTTCTCAAATGGGCTATAAGAGAAAACGAGAGATAAAAAATTTACATAAAGAATTAAAATTAACAGTTCCAGCAAGGTTCTACCGAGAATTGAACTCGGATTCCCGGATTCAGAGTCCGAAGTGCTAACCATTACACCACAGAACCTAACCATTTACCGTGAAAGACACAGCAGAAATTGGTGTTTGAGACATTTTAACCCGGAAATCTAATCGCTGGTTCCTAATCGTGTATTTCTGTACCGCTATCAAAGAAAAACCTTTTGAATAGCATGAAAAAGTTCAATTTTTCTTCCGAATACGTATTCTGCAATCTTTTGACGACTCATCATATACATCTGACCCGGGCTGTGATGTATAGTCTATATACACGCACATTATTAAGATGAAGTATTTACATATATTCCCCCTATTCCAGGTATGGAGCCCTGGTTTAAAAATATAATATAGAATATGCAAGTGTCCCAGAGAGTCATTCAAAAAACCTAAACTGCATGGATTGTTTATCAAACGTACGGCTTTTTCCCACGAAAATAAGTTGGGATTTTTCATGCACTAATGGGTACCATAAAAATATTTAATTTTTCTTTAGTTTATAAAACAGGAAGGAGCGAGCGGAGTTGAACCACTGACCCCGCGGTGACCTGTCAACCTGCAGTCGGATGCTCTACCACTATATGCTACTCTCTCTGAGCGTTCCATGCAGCATACCTGTCATATGCTATATTCTTAGATACCTGTAAGAGAAAGCCTGAAATAAAAAAATACATAAAGACGGAGAATGAATGATTTCAAAGAGTTTCTACCAAAAATTGAACTCCGATTCTCGAAGTCAATAATTATGTAGTTTGCTACGCGCATGCACATTATTAAGATTAAGTATATCTTAAACTCTCTGATGAGGCTTTTGCATACTTTTGTATTTACAAAAGTATATAGGCAACTATAGCAACTATATAATTTATCCTACTAAGAGCCCGAAGTAATAAACCATTACACCACAGGACATAAACACCTAGAAAAATTACTGAGAAATTCCCGGATTAAGATAAAGTATTAAGATAAAGTATATATTCGTGTTAAGCTTGCACATACGCCTCATTAGCTCAGTGGTTAGAGCACTGGTCTTGTAAACCAGGGGTCCAGAGTTCAACTCTAGCAACTATATAATTTATCCTACTCAGAGCCCGAAGTGCTAACCATTACACCACAGGACATAAACACCTAGAAAAATTACTGAGAAATTCCTGGCTCTACAGTATATCTATGCACGCCCATTATTAAGATAAAGTAATTATATTCCCTGTATTCCAGGTATGGACTCCCGTTTTATAAATTTATAGAACATGCATGTGTCCCAGAGAGTCATTGAAAAAACACTAAACTGCAAGGATTATTTATCAATCAAACGGATTGTTGGAACGAAAATAAATTTGGGTTTTTTAATTCACTAATTAGTACGATAAAAATGTTGGATTTTTTTTCATTGATAAAAGAGAAGGGAGCGAGCGGAGTTGAACCACTGACCTCTCGATCTGCAGTCGAATGCTCTACCACTGAGCTACACTCCCTGATGGTGCATACCTGTTTGATGCTATTCTCCTAAAACAACATTTCTTGCTGTTCTTACCTTATTCGAAATAGCAAAAGTTTTATATTCATGGCATAGAAGCAGTGCGTAGCAAGCAGGGTGGCGCAGTGGAAGCGTGCTGGGCCCATAACCCAGAGGTCGATGGATCGAAACCATTTCCTGCTAAAGTTATCATTTCAATAAAAAAGATATTTTCGAAATCTTATTCAAAAATAGGTATTTTTTCTCAAATGGGCTATAAGAGAAAACCAGAGCTAAAAAAATTTACATAAAGACATAAAATTAACAGTTTCTGCTGAAAGTTTCTGCTGGTTCTACCGAGAATTGAACTCGGATTCCCGGATTCAGAGTCCGAAGTGCTAACCATTACACCACAGAACCTAACCATCTACAGAAAGACAGAGCAGAAATTGGTGTTTGAGACATTTCAACCCGGAAATCTAATCGCTGGTTCCTAATCGTGTATTTCTGTACCTCTATCAAAGAGAAACCTTTTGAATAGCATGAAAAAGTTCAATTTTTCTTCCGAATACGTATTCTGCAATCTTTTGACGACTCATCATATACATCTGACCAACGCTGTGATGTATAGTCTATATACACGCACATTATTAAGATGAAGTATTTACATATATTCCCCCTATTCGAGGTATGGAGCCCTGGTTTACAAATAAAATAGAACATGCATGTGTCCCAGAGAGTCATTCAAAAAACCTAAACTGCATGGATTGTTTATCAAACGTACGGCTTTTTCCCACGAAAATAAATTGGGATTTTTCATGCACTAATGGGTACCATAAAAATATTTAATTTTTCTTTAATTTATAGAACAGGAAGGAGCGAGCGGAGTAGAACCACTGACCGCAGTCACCTGTCAACCAGCAGTCGGATGCTCTACCACTATATGCTACTCTCTCTGAGCGTTCCATGCAGCATACCTGTCATATGCTATATTCTTAGACACCTGTAAGAGAAAGTCTGAAATAAAAAAATACATAAAGACGGAGAATGAATGATTTCAAAGAGTTTCTACCAAAAATTGAACTCCGATTCTCGAAGTCAGAGTCCAAAGTGATAACCATTACACCACAGACCCTAAAAATCTATCAAACTTACTGACGAATGTGTCTGCATAATATATAATTATGTAGTTTGCTACGCGCATGCACATTATTAAGATAATGTATTCATACAATTATATTCGTGTTAAGAAAATAAATTGGGATTTTTCATGCACTAATGGGTACCATAAAAATGTTTAATTTTTCTTTCATTTATAGAAAAGGAAGGAGCGAGCGGAGTTGAACCACTGACCCCAGTGACCTGTCAACCTGCAGTCGGATGCTCTACCACTATATGCTACTCTCTCTGAGCGTTCCATGCAGCATACCTTTCATATGCTATATTATTAGATACCTGTAAGAGAAAGCCTGAAATAAAAAAATACATAAAGGCGGAGAATGAATGTTTTCAAAGAGTTTCTACCAAGAGTTGAACTCAGATTCTCGAAGTCAGAGTCCGAAGTGATAACCATTACACCACAGAACCTAACGATTTACTGAAAGACACAGCAGAAATTGTTGTTTGAGACATTTCAACCCGGAAATCTAATCGCTGGTTCCTAATCGTGTATTTCTGTACCGCTATCAAAGAGAAACCTTTTGAATAGCATGAAAAAGTTCAATTTTTCTTCCGAATACGTATTCTGCAATCTTTTGACTACTCATCATATACATCTGACCCGCGCTGTGATGTATAGTCTAGATACATGCACATTATTAAGATGAAGTATTTACATATATTCCCCCTATTCCAGGTATGGAGCCCTGGTTTACAAATTTAATATAGAACATGCATGTGTCCCAGAGAGTCATTCAAAAAACCTAATCTGCATGGAATGTTTATCAAACGTACGGCTTTTTCCCACGAAAATAAATTGGGATTTTTCATGCACTAATGGGTACCATAAAAATGTTTAATTTTTCTTTCATTTATAGAACAGGAAGGAGCGAGCGGAGTTGAACCACTGACCCCAGTGACCTGTCAACCAGCAGTCGGATGCTCTACCACTATATGCTACTCTCTCTGAGCGTTCCATGCAGCATACCTGTCATATGCTATATTCTTAGATACCTGTAAGAGAAAGCCTGAAATAAAAAAATACATAAAGGCGGAGAATGAACGTTTTCAAAGAGTTTCTACCAAGAGTTGAACTCCGATTCTCGAAGTCAGAGTCCGAAGTGATAACCATTACACCACAGAACCTAACTATTTACTGAAAGACACAGCAGAAATTGGTGTTTGAGACATTTCAACCCGGAAATCTAATCGCTGGTTCCCAATCGTGTATTTCTGTACCGCTATCAAAGAGAGACCTTTTGAATAGCATGAAAAAGTTCAATTTTTCTTCCGAATACGTATTCTGCAATCTTTTGACGACTCATCATATACATCTGACCCGCGCTGTGATGTATAGTCTATATACACGCACATTATTAAGATGAAGTATTTACATATATTCCCCCTATTCGAGGTATGGAGCCCTGGTTTACAAATATAATATAGAACATGCATGTGTCCCAGAGAGTCATTCAAAAAACTTAAACTGCATGGATTGTTTATCAAACGTACGGTTTTTTCGCACGAAAATAAATTGGGATTTTTCATGCACTAATGGGTACCATAAAAATGTTTAATTTTTCTTTCATTTATA